CTCTCTCTCTCTCTCTCTCTTTCTCTCTCTCTCTCTCTGTGTGTGTGTGTGTGTGTGCGCGCATGATTTTGTGCACAGCTGTAATTGATTTTTATCCAGTACTCAATACCTGAGTTAGAAAAGTAAAATTAATATAATACTTTTAATAATAATAGTATTATTATTAGTAGTAGTAGTAGTAGTAGTAGCAGGAGTAGTAGTAGTAGTAGTAGTTATGGTAGTAGTAGTTATGGTGGTAGCAGTAGTAATAGTGATAGTAGTAGTAGTAGTAGTAGTAGTAGTAGTAGTAGTAGTAGTAGAAGTAGTGGTGGTGGTAGTAGTAGTATTTGTAGTAGTGATATTATTATCAACAAAAAAGGTGATAGTGATGATAGTGAGTTGGGTGGGAGTATCTATGTAATATGATGCTTGCTGATGATTTCTGCTGTTTCTCAATGTCCATGCTGATGATGCTGATGAGGGTGATGGTGATGGTGAAGGTCACTATGGCTATTACCATTAACTTAATAATGAATATCCATTTACAATTTTCATGATGATGATGACGACGACGATAATAATGACGTTGATGATGATGATGATGAATGGCAATAATAATAATTATAATGATATTATAAGTGACAATAATATGAAAGCTGTAGATGACGATGATGATGATGATTATGATGATGATGACTTATTACAGCTATTGAAATCACTCTCATGACAATATGAATAATGATGGTGAGGATTATTATGATGACAGTGCAAATGATGATGATGATTAGGATGATGATGATGGTGATGATACATAAACGCGCACACACACACACACACAGGAAACTCAAAACTTTGGCAAAGTGGAAAAGCAGAGAAGGATGAAGACGACAACAAAACGAAAGAAATCCCTAGAGTCAGACAACAACAACATGCTAAAAGATGGCGTTACCGGTGCGGCCGGTGGAGTTGTGGGCGGAGCCAATGGTGGAGCTTCAGGGGCAGCCATGCCCCTCAAAATGGACCCCTCTATGGCCCTCAAGTCCGAGTCTGACATGAATGAAGATTGGAAGAATGAGATGTGGCAGCAGAGGAATGGTCATGTGATGGAGAACAACGGTGGAGTGCCACAGGGTATGCCAGGTTCGTTTCTGTTTGTGCTTGCTGCTGTTTGGTTTTCTTTTGGAATATTTGTTTGTAGGCTGGTTTTTTGTTGGTTAGAACATTAGCGGATTTTGGCAGGGGTATGTTCTGCTGTTTCGTCTTCGGGCATGTTGGTTTGTTGTCAAGTGTTTTGGTTTGTTGTTTCTTTTGTATGTTGTTGTATATATTGGTTAGTTGATTTGTAGTTCTATAGCTTTTCTGAGAGTGTGTGTGTGTGGAATGTTAATGGAATGGAAATGAATTGAGATGATTATGGATAGTTGTAATGATAATTATGGATGGTAATGGGGGTGGATTGTGGTGAGGACGACGACGAGGATTGTGAAAAAAAAACACTAACAACTGATAATTAGATTAGTGTAATGTCAGTTTGAAATTAGGTAACCAGCTAATTTTTTTTTCGTCCTCTTATATTTATATTTTATTAAATTTTTAAAGAACTCACAAAAAATAGTTTCATAACTTATTTATTGTTTTTTATGTCTGCATTTATTTATATGTAAGTAAGGGCGAGAGAGAGAGAGAGAGAGAGAGAGAGAGAGAGAGAGAGAGAGAGAGAGACCGGCAGACACACTGCTGCTGACAACAACAAAAAATTCATTTTTTCATCTCATTTGTTTCTCTCTCGCTCTCTCCCTCTTTCTTTCTTTCTCTCTCTCTCTGCTGAAAAAATAAATTTGTGGACTATTCTTTTTCCTCCTTCTTTCCTTTCTGGTTTTTTTTTTCTTCCTTGCAAAAAATATTTTTTCTTTTGCATTTTACTTTCCATTTAATTTTTTTTTTGTTATTAGTTTTGCAGTTGCCTCTGCATGTGTGTGTGTGTGTGTGTGTGTGTGTGTGTGTGTGTACATACACACATTCATACATACACGCACATACATTCATACAAACAAACATACATTCAAACAAACATATATACATACATGCGTACATACATACACACATATACATACAAACATACACACATATGCGCTGTTCATATCATAACAAGCAGTGGTTAGGTTATCCTTGCTCTATTAATTGTTTAATTAAAATGTAACTCAGTTGGATATTTGGAATTTTTATCATCATAATATTGTTATTGATGTTGGTGTTATTGATGCTGTTGCTGTTGTTTTTTGTTATTCTTCTTCTTTGTAGTTGTCATGTCTGCAGTGTATTAACGCGCATGTTATTGTTGTTAATGTCTTTATTACGGTTACTGCTGTTGTTGTTGTTATTGTTATTATTATTATTGTTATTATGCTACGGCCGTTCTTTTATGAAGCATTAGGGCTGGTATTGCTATTGTTATTGCTGTCTTGTTGTTGTTGTTGTTGTTGTTAGTAGCCA